TACAAATCTTAGAGCTTTCCAGAAAGTCCTCATTTAGTATTCATTTTACTAGAAAATAAATTAGTACTTCTATATATTTTATATTTTCATTTTATTTTATACCAATTTTTCATTAAAAGATATGTGGAAAACCTCAAAATTCTGTTCTGAGAACTAAAACACCTACTTTTTCCTTGGTATATTTCGTTTACTATATTATTTTTTAAAGCTTTTCTAGCCTTTTAGCCTTTGTTAAGTTCATAAAGTAATTTTGTCCGGCTAGAATCGGGATTCAGCCCAGTGTGTGCAGTGTCATCTTGCCTGATTTAAATATATCTAGTACTAGGTTTAGTTTCTTTTCTTATTACAGCGGTATTTAGTCTTTTACCTCCAGTATCTAGTCTTTTGGAAGCAGTATTCAGTTATCTGCCAGCAATATTTACTGTTCTGGTAACGATATCAAGTTTTCTAGAAATAATATCTGGTCCTATATCAGCATTGTCTGATGTTCTGTTACAGATTTAGTCTTTTGACAGCAATATTTAGTTTTCTGGCAGCAATATCTCGCCTTTGAGAAGTAGTATATAATTTCTTATTTATTCAAGTAGATATATCTTATTAGTATATCTACTTATTTAGAAGCATTATCTACTTTTTTAACATTTTTTGTCTTGCATTAGTAATATATAGTAATACAACGACGGTATCTAGTATTCTGGAAGCAGTTTATGCTCTTTTTACAGCAGTATCTAGACTTTCACCTCCATTATCTAGTTTTTTAGAAGCAGTTTCAACTCGTCTCCTTTAGTCTCTTGATGACAATATATAGTTTTCTAGAAACAATATAATCTAGTCTTGTATCAGCAGTGTCTGATGTTCTATAACAGATCTACTCCTCTGCCAGCAATAATAAGTCTTCAGCCGACAATTTTTAGTCTTTTGAAAGTAGTATCTAGTCTTCCATCGGTACTATCAGCTATTGTAGATGCAGCAATAATTAAAATTTGAACAGTTAGTAGAATTTTATAAATATGATTTAGATGGCGTCTCAAAATCTGTTGCAGCTGGTGCATTTAAACTTTGGTACAGAAGATTTCACAATACTTTACCAGAAGAATTTACCAATTTTCCTTCAAATGCATTATCAATTTTTGATTCGATTATCTTTCCTCATATTTATATGTTGTTGAAAATTTTGTGCATCTTGCCAGTACTCCAAGCACAGCTACTCCAGAGAAAACATTTTCAACTCCATGAACCATTGAAAGCAAGTAAGTGTCAGCAGTAACTAGTCTTTTGCAATAGTATCTAGCCCTTTGACAGCAGTATTTAGTTTTGTGGTAGTAATATCTCGTTTTTGAGAAGTAATATATAATATTTTATCAGCATAATTTTGTGTTTTACAATAAAATACAATTTTTTTCTGGAAACAATATCTTATTAGTCTTCCATTAGTGGTATCTAGTTATTTAGAAGTATTAGCTACTTTTTTGTCACTTTTTGTCTTACATTAGTAATATATAGTACTATGACGAGAGTATCTAGTATTCTATAAGTAGTTTATGATCTTTTTACAGCAGTATTTTGAGTTTTAGCTCCATTATCTTGTTTTTTAGAAGCAGTTTTAAGTGGAATGCTAGAAATATTTAGTCTTTTGGTGACAATATCTAGTTTTCTAGAAACAATATCATCTACTTAGTCCTGTATCAGCAGTGTCTGTTGTTCTGTAACAGATCTACTCCTCTGCCAGCAATAATAAGTCTTCCAGCGACAATAATTAGTCTTTTGAAAGTAGTATCTAGGACGAAGAAGCATCTATTTTCGTCAGCAGTAACTGGTTTTTTGCAACAGTATCTAGTCTTTTGACAGCAGTATTTAGTTTTGTGGTAGTAATATCTCGACTTTGAGAAGCAGTACATAATCTTTTATCAGTAATATCTAGTGTTTTACAACAAAATACAATATTTTTCAGGAAACAATATCTTATTAGTCTTCCATCGGTAGTATCTGCTTATTTAGAAGCATTATCTACTTTTTTGTCTTGCATTAGTAATATATAGTAATATAACGACAGTATCTAGTATTCTGAAAGCAGTTTATGTTCTCTTTACTGCAGTATTTAAACTTTTAGCTCCATTATCTAGTGTTTTAGAACCAGTTTCAGGTTGTATGCCAGAAATATTTAGTCTTTTGGTGGCAAAATCTAGTTTTTTAGAAACAATATCATCTACTTAGTCTTGTATTAGCAGTATCTGATGTTCTGTAACAGATTTAGTCTTCTGCCAGCAATAATAAGTCTTCCCGCGACAATATTTAGTCTTTTGAAAGTGGTATCTAGTCTTCCATCGGTACTATAAACTATTCTAGAAGCAGTATTTATTTTTGTCAGCAGTAACTGGTCTTTTGCAACAGTGTCTAGTCTTTTGACAGCAGTATTTAGTTTTGTTGTAGTAATATCTCGACTTTGAGAAGCAGTACATAATCTTTTATCAGTAATATCTGGTGATTTACAACAAAATACAATATTTTTCAGGAAACAATATTTTATTAGTCTTCCATCGGTAGTATCTACTTATTTAGAAGCATTATCTACTTTTTTTGTCATTTTTTGTCTTACATTAGTAATACATAGTAATATAACGACAGTATCTAGTATTCTGGAAGCAGTTTATGTTCTTTTTACAACAGTATTTAGACTTTTAGCTCCATTATCTAGTTTTTTAGAAGTAGTTTCAGATCGCATGCCAGAAGTATTTACTCTAGGGTGACAAAATCTAGTTTTCTAGAAACAATATTATTTACTTAGTCTTGTATCAGCAGTATCTGATGTTCTGTAACAGATCTAGTCCTCTGTCAGCAATAATAAGTCTTCAGCCGACAATATTTAGTCTTTTCAAAGTAGTATCTAGTTTTCAGTATTTAGCTTCATTATCTAGTTTTTTAGAAGTAGTTTCAGATCGCATGCCAGAAGTATTTAGTCTAGGGTGACAAAATCTAGTTTTCTAGAAACAATATCATTTACTTAGTCTTGTATCAGCAGTATCTGATTTTTTGTAACAGATCTAGTCCTCTGTCAGCGATAATAAGTCTTCAGCCGACAATATTTAGTCTTTTGAAAGTAGTATCTAGTTTTCCATCGGTACTATAAACTATTCTAGAAGCAGCATCTATTTTTGTCAGCAATAACTAGTCTTTTGCAACAATATCTAGTCCTTTGGCAGCAGTATTTGGTTTTGTGGTTGTAATATCTCGGCTTTGGGAAGGATTTTACAACAGAATACAATATTTTTCTGGAAACAATATCTTATTACTCTTCCATCGGTAGTATCTACTTATTTAGAAGCATTATCTACTTTTTTTGTCATTTTTTGTCTTGCATTAGTAATATAACGACAGTATCTAGTATTCTGGAAGCAGTTTATGTTCTTGTTACAACAGTATTTAGACATTTAGCTCCATTATCTAGTTTTTTAGAAGTAGTTTCAGATCGCATTCCAGAAGTATTTAGTCTAAGGTGACAAAATCTAGTTTTCTAGAAACAATATCATTTACTTAGTCTTGTATCAGCAGTATCTGATTTTCTGTAACAGATCTAGTCCTCTGTCAGCAATAATAAGTCTTCAGCCGACAATATTTAGTCTTTTGAAAGTAGTATCTAGTTTTCCATCGGTACTATAAACTATTCTAGAAGCAGCATCTACTTTTGTCAGCAATAACTAGTCTTTTGCAACAGTATCTAGTCCTTTGACAGAGTATTTGGTTTTGTGGTTGTAATATCTCGGCTTTGGGAAGGATTTTACAACAAAATACAATATTTTTCAGGAAACAGTATCTTATTACTCTTTCATCGGTAGTATCTACTTATTTAGAAGCATTATCTACTTTTTTTTGTCAGTTTTTGTCTTGCACTAGTAATATATAGTAATATAACGACAGTATCTAGTATTCTGGAAGCAGTTTATGTTCTTGTTACAACAGTATTTAGACTTTTAGCTCCATTATCTAGTTTTTTAGAAGTAGTTTCAAATCGCATGCCAGAAGTATTTAGTCTAAGGTGACAAAATCTGGTTTTCTAGAAACAATATCATTTACTTAGTCTTGTATCAGCAGTATCTGATGTTCTGTAACAGATCTAGTCCTCTGCCAGTAATAATAAGTCTTCAGCCAACAATATTCAGTCTTTTGAAAGTAATATCTAATCTTCCATCGATGCTATCAGCTATTCTAGAAGCAGCATCTATTTTTGTCAGCAGTAAGTAGTCTTTTGCAACAGTATCTAATATTTCGACTTTAGACCTAGAACTAGAAACATTTGGGTTTAGCCGTTTTTTGAGACTCGAATGTTTCTGGTTCTACATCTAATGTGATCTATTAAGTAATAATAATTATGTAAATAATATCTATTTCACTCCCTATTAAAAATGTGTGTGCTTCGGTGATAATGGCCATAAATAATCCGTGTATATTTGAGCTAATTATGATGCAAATGGTTAAAATAAAAAAAAAATTAATTACGATCTCGTATTGGAAGATTTCCATTTTTGACACAATTGATTCATAAGAAATTCATCATCGTCATCCCAATCGTTCTTCATATTCGTTTCAAAACTATAAAAAAAAAATAATAAAATAAAAGTTAAAATAAATAAACAAATAAAATAAATTTAAAAAATAAGATTTTTTTGGGCCAAAATAAAAAAACACACTTTTGTATTATTAATAACAATAAATCACCGAATCCGCCGGGTTTGTATTGTTTGGTGCCAAATGACTGCAGTACTCGGCATTTTGGACCCTCTATTTTTGGGATGCCTCGATGTTTAGATGTCATTTCAGAATTTTTAGTGAAAATACTTGGCGAGAAAATAACACTTATCTCGAAAGATTTATTTATTCACGAAACAAAAAGTTTTTTTTTATACATTTTTAATTTTTATTATAATACATTAGATCGCACCTAAATCGTTTATTTTCTTCTTAGATTTTTTTTCACGTAACTTAAAAAAAAAAACGAGAAAATGTCTAAGATTTTTTTTTTTCGGTTTAGTAAAGAAAATCCTTACAGGAACGATTTGCAGATTTCTTTCGATGGGTGTTGTTCGCAATAAACCATAGCTCTCATTATAGCTTCGATATTTCCCGTATATCCTCTATCAGTGCCGAAATTTCTTTTTTTAGGGCGATCCCCGCTGCAAAAATTAATTTAATCCCATTTAAAAATAATTTAAACAATTATCTTTGTATTTAAAGCACACTTACTGTACAATTTTTTTTTAATTTACAAAAAAATATTTACACTTTTTTAAAACGGAACACAATCAAGTTTTATTTGACACAAGGATTCTCTGAAATAACCACTACTTCCTTTTTTTTATTTATTTATTTCGATTTCAAAGAGCTTTTAGCACTTCAAACCGATAATATTTTTCGAATTGGTTTTATTATAGCCTTTGGAAAATCCGAGCGAATCTCCAAACGAAACGTTAACGATTCTAGCTGGTGCAGAAAATTAGTTCGTTATTGGTTATAAAGGGAAGCGTTTATTGGTTTCCTCAATACGAGATTTTTTTTGCAAAAAGTTATTTTTTTAGCTCTAAATTTTGCAATTTTAATTATTTAATTATTTTTTTATTCCTAAAATGTTCAAAATGTTCCAAGGAACACGATGAGTACCCCCAATTTAAATTTGGCAGTACAAAACAAAATTACGCGATTGCATAAAGTCAGTTGCTTAGCCCCAAATTTGAAATTTTTTTGCTTTTAAAATACGTAAAATATCCTTTGGAACACGGCTAATACACACATTTCAATTTTGGCAATATCAAAAATACTTAATCTCTTAATTTCTAAAGTCGCAATTTCAATTTTTTTATTTTTTTTGTTCCTAAGATGTTCAAAATGATCCAAGGAACACGATGAGTACCCGCAATTTAAATTTGGCAGTACAAAAAAAATTACGCGATTGCATAAAGTCAGTTCCTTAGCCCCAAATTTAAAATTTTAAAATTTAAAAAATTTTTTGTTTCTAAAATACGTAAAATATCCTTTGGAACACGGTTAATACACACATTTCAATTGTGGCAATATCAAAAATACTTAATCCCTTGATTTCTAAAGTCGCAATTTCAATTTTTTTATTTTTTTTGTTCCTAAGATGTTCAAAATGATCCAAGGAACACGATGAGTACCCACAATTTAAATTTAGCAGTACAAAAAAAAATTACGCGATTGAATAAAGCTTGTTCGCAAAGACCTTGGTCCTAGCGACAGTGGCGTGTACGAATTAGATGATATTGGTCCGACTTTATCCAGTGGCGTATCCAAAGAGCATCCTAATTTCATATATAAAATTACAATCACAAATTAATTGTTAAAGTAACTACCAATTGAAAAACTATTGCCGTAATAATTTTATAAATTGTAGAATGAATTTTTTTCTATATCTTTGTCAAGTTTTAATAAGATTTTGAAGTATTAAACACAATAAATATAATCTTGTAATCTTTTAAATGAATCAGAGGACCTAGAAACAATATACATACTTGGTAAACGATACAAGTATGTACTATTTTGATTGATAAGTTCTATTTCTAACTAAAAGTAGTGGTATACTAAATGTATAAATATATATAAATAAAAATGACTATAAGAACGACTTTGAAGATTTATTGATTCGCAAATAGGATTCGTTATTTTAGTGTATGTCTTATTCTAGGAGCTAAAATAATATTCGGGAGTGTTCGGCGATAATCGGCCGATGGTCCGATCTCAAGGACAGTAGAATCTAACAGGACTGCTATATCCATTGTATTTTTGTAGTCCACTACGGGTTGGTTGCCCGCACTCTACGTCACACTATTTGCCACGCCTGCTAACTGTCTGTATTTTTCGAGGTTATATGATAGACATTAATACGTCTAAAAGCATAAAACTTCAAAAATAATAGGAATACGTCTAGGATATAACCTCTAAAAATACGCAGCAAACGCATAGACCATAACAACAGCTAGGCGTGGAAAATGGTGTGATGTAGTTTGCGGGCAGGTTGTCACAACAATGGATGTGGCAGTCCTGATAGATTCTACTGTCCTTGGTTTACAACTGCTTAAGTGCCAACTGCGATTAGGTAACTTTTGCAGCTGCAATGACGTATTCTACGTTTTCTGGCTTAACCACTTATGTAATTAAAATCTTATAAGAGATAAAAACGGTTTAGAACTGAATAGGCTATTCAGAAATTATAATAATGTAATTGTCGCCTGGCCAGAAAAAAATATGGAGTAATATTCGGTGAACACATGACTTTTCCATCATTCCTGTGTTTCTAAAATTGTATCAAAAACCATAAAAAGACGTTAATCGAACCTAGGAACTCACTTCTGAAAAATGGTTTCATTTGATTTACGCGTTTTCGAGTTATAAAAAATAAAAGAATTGTTTTTCCAAAGAAGCAACTTTGGATATAGATAACTTAACTTAAATCGACCTATTTTGAGCCAAGGAATCTGTGGTTTTCCGTTGTACACGCATTTCGGAGACACCCTGTATATACAATTTCTTTGCTTAGCCCCACATTTAAAATTTTTTTGCTTCTAAAATACGTAAAATATCCTTTGGAACACGACTAATACACACATTTCAATTTCGGCAATGCCAAAAATACTTGTTCCTTTAATTTCTAAATTGATAATTTTAATTTTTTTAATATTTTTTATTCCTAAGATGTTCTAAACNGTGATAGAGTGAAACTGTTAGAATAAAAAATATTAACAATCAAGCCATAAACGATAATCCATAGAAGATTTTTCCCCATCATTGGTTATTACCAACCTAGGGCACTAAAGCTCATGAATCTTTGAAGTTCTATGTTTTTGACATGATTATAGGTAACAAATTAACGACTGAAAGTGATGGAATAAAACTGCTTGGAAAAAAGAACATTCTAATATATATTATTAATATATTATTATTATAAATATATATATATTAATATCAAAAATATTTGGTCCCTTAATTTCTAAAGTCATAATTTTAATTTTTTTAATTTTTTTTTGTTCCTAAAATGTTCAAAATGATCCAAGGAACACGATAAGTATACGCAATTCAAATTTGGCAGTAGCAAAAAAAATTACGCGACTGCAAAAAGTCGCTTCCTTAGCTCTAAATTTGCAATTTTGATTTTTTTTTAAATTTTCTCTTCTAAAATACATAAAATATCCTTTGGAACACGACTAATACACACATTTCAATTTTGGCAATATCAAAAATACTTAATTCCTTAATTTCTAAAGTCGCAATTTCAATTTTTTTATTTTTTTTGTTCCTAAGATGTTCAAAATGATGCAAGGAACACGATGAGTACCCGCAATTCAAATTTGGCAGTATCAAAAAAAATTACGCGACTACAAAAAATCATTTCCTTTGCTCTAAATTTGCAATTTTAATTTTTTTTTAAATTTTTTTCTTCTAAAATACGTAAAATATCCTTTGGAACACGACTAATACACACATCTCAATTTTGGCAATATCAAAAATGCTTAATCCCTTAATTTCTAAAGTCGCAATTTTAATTTTTTTATTTTTTTTGTTCCTAAGATGTTCAAAACGATCTAAGGAACACGATGAGTATACCAAATTCAAATTTGGCAGTAGCAAAAAAAATTACGCGACTACAAAAAGTCATTTCCTTAGCTCTAAATTTGCAATTTTAATTTTTTTAATAAATTTTTTCTTTTAAAATATGTAAAATATCCTTTGGAACACGACTAATACACACATTTTATTTTGGCAATATCAAAAATGCTTAATCCCTTAATTTCTAAAGTCGCAATTTCAATTTTTTTATTTTTTTTGTTCCTAATATGTTCAAAATGATCCAAGGAACACGATGAGTACCCGCAATTTAAATTTGGCAGTACAAAAAAAAATTACGCGATTGAATAAAGCTACTTCCTTAGCCCAAATTTAAAATTTTTTAATTTTGAAATTTTTTTTGCTTCTAAAATACGTAAAATATCCTTTGGAACACGACTAATACACACATTTCAAATTCGGCAATGCCAAAAATATTTGTTCCCTTAACTTCTAAATTGGCAATTTTAATTTTTTTAATATTTTTTGTTCCTAAGATGTTCTAAACTATCTATGGAACACCGTGAGTACACGGAATTCAAATTTGGCAGTACAAAAAAAAATTACACGATTGCATAAAGTCATTTCCTTAGCCCCAAAATTAAAATTTTTTAATTTTCAAATTCTTTTGCTTCTAAAATACGTAAAATATGCTTTTTTCTTGCAAAAAGTTATTTGTTTAGCTCTAAATTTTGCAATTTTAATTTTTTAAATAATAATTGGAATTAATATAAACGTGTATGTAACATATAAATGAAACACAACCAGAAGAAAGGACACCTTTACACGCTAAGGACAGGTTAATTTTTCCTTTCTGTTATTCCTGTCCTTAACGTGTAAAGGTGTCCTTCCTTCTGGTTGTGTTTCATTTATATGTTACGTACACGTTTATATTAATTCCAATTATTATTTAATTAATTTTTCTTCACCGGCTTTCTCCGGAATTAAAATCTTGTGACGTTGGTCCTTAAATTGTGCTTGTGAATGACATTAATGCGGTCCAGAAAATGTACAGGTTGAAAGGAATCCTTGTCTGTTAATTTCCTCCTTCTGTTATTCCTGTCCTTAACATGTAAAGGTGTCCTTCCTTCTGGTTGTGTTTCATTTAATTTTTTAATTATTTTTTTATGCGTAAAATGTTCAAAATGTTCCAAGGAACACGATGAGTACCCGCAATTTAAATTTGGCAGTACAAAAAAAAATTACGCGATTGCATAAAGTCAGTTCCTTAGCTCTAAATTTGCAATTTTAATTTTTTTAATAAATTTTTTCTTTTAAAATATGTAAAATATCCTTTGGAACACGACTAATACACACATTTTAATTTTGGCAATATCAAAAATGCTTAATCCTTTAATTTCTAAAGTCGCAATTTTAATTTTTTATTGTTTCTTTGTTCCTAATATGTTCTAAATGATCTATGGAACACGATGAGTACACACAATTCAAATTTGGCAGTACAAAAAAAAATTACACGATTGGATAAAGTAATTTCCTTAGCCCCAAATTTAAAATTTTTTAATTTTGAAATTTTTTTGCTTCTAAAATACGTAAAATATCCTTTAGAACACGACTAATACACACATTTCAATTTCGGCAATGCCAAAAATATTTGTTCCGTTAATTTCTAAATTTACAATTTTGATTTTTTTAATATTTTTTGTTCCTAAGATGTTCAAAATGATCTAAGGAACACGATGAGTACACGCAATTCAAATTTGGCAGTACAAAATAAAATTACGCGATTACAAAAGTCATTATTTTTAAATACTTTATCTGATATTATTTTAATTTTTATTGTTTTAAACAACTAATAAAACGTCGATCATGAAACATCCCAAAATTTTACAAAGCTTTATTACCTCCAAAGCTGTATCTTTATGTTCGAACACGTGATATTTTGCGATAATTACGACCCATAAAAAGATTTATGCGCAACAAACGTTTGGTTCATGTTACGTGACAAAAAAAAAACGTTAAACGATTAATATAACAACGAAAAATAGGTGGTTCGTTTAGAATACCTGAAAAAAAATTCGTATTTACACATAAACAGATATTTACAGCATTAATTTCTTGTGTATGAGGAAATAATATATAAAAAAAAGTTTACTTACTTTTCCAAGTCATCTTCGGCGATTAAAGCTTGTCTTAATCTGGCCAACGTTTGAAGAATATATTCTGGATTTTGACTCTCGTATTGGGATTGATAAAAACTGTTGAAAACAAACATAATTAAAGATTTATATTTAATAATTTCCTAATAGCGCCATCTTTTGTAAAGTAGCGGAACTAAATACGTTAAATTGATTCATAATAAAATATTTAACTCACTTCATAATAAAAAATACGATGTAGTTATCTTTAAAAATGATTGAGGTGATAACAAAATTTTTATTATTAACCTCACTTTTAATTGGTTAACTTCCGGTAATAACTTTCTTATTTTTTTAAATAAATTGGTCGTGTTTGTACTCGTTTTGAAGCATTTTTTATTTCCTATGAGATAAAATTAGTTGTTTTAATGCAACTTAATGAGTTTGGTTGATTATAATTAAATAACATCCTGTATTTATTTCAAACTGAGGAGATCTGCATTCTTGCTACTCGAACATGGTAGAAATCCACTTCAATTTGTCATTAACGGAAGGTGTGCAGACCGCACTCGAGCACGTCACGTGACTTGGTTAGGTTAATTAAGTTAATTTCTAGAGCAAGAGCACTGACATTAAATGATCCATCCGTTTCTCGCTGGTGTACAACTAACTTCATTATTACCTCTTAGAACTTGAACTATTTTAGAAGAATAGGAGATATAGTAAAACCTCTATATAACGGACAAAATAGTTTTGTTTTTGAGTATGTTTTGCGTCTAGATTATGTAAAATATTCTTCGTAACACCATTAATGCATAAATTTCAATTTTGGCAATGTCAAAAATTAAAAAATTTTCATTTTTTTGTTCCTAAGGTGTTCTAAATAATCTATGGAACACGATGAGTACATGCAAATCAAATTTGGTAGTAGCAAAAAAAATTACGCGATTGCGTAAAGTCATTTAATTAGCACTAAATTTGAAATTTTCGTTTTTTGAAAATTTTTTGCTTTTAGAATATGTAAAATATCCTTGGGAACACAACTAATACACACATTTTAATTTTGGCAATGTTAAAAATTCACTCAGCGGCATAAAAATTGCGTTTTTTGATGACTATTTTCAAAGTGCAATAACTTTTGAACGTATTGCTCGATTTGAATAAGGTTTTATTTATTTGAAAAGTCTACCCTTTGCCAATATTTCTTTCACTTCTTCACTTCACTTTCTTAGCTCCAAATATGAAATTTCCATTTTTTAAAAGTTTTTTGCTTCTAGAACTTGAGGTTGAGCTCGAGCTTAGGGGGATGGCACCCAACAAGGGTCCTGGATCAGATGGTATTCCTTCGCTCCTTATTATTAACTGTGCTGTTGTTCTTTCCATTCCTCTTATGCAAATTTTTAATTTGTCCATCACTACAGGAGTCTTTCCTTTGGCGTGGAAACGCGCGAATATTGTACCAGTCTACAAAGCCAAGAATTACCATCCAATTTCTATCTTGCCCTTATTTGCAAAGGTATTTGAAAGGTTGATGACTATTTTTTCAATTCACGTGCCTTGTCAATCTCTTCTGGTGTACCTCAGGGCAGCCATCTGAGGCTGTTTGTTCTTTACATTAACGACATCTTTTTTTCCTTTTCCCATTGCCGCTATCTCTTGTATGCTGACGACCTTAAATTGTTTCTCCCTATTTATAGTGTAAATGATTGCGCCAAATTGCAGAGTGACCTTGACGATCTATGCAAGTTGTCTTGTTTTAAATATCTCTAAATGTGTAACTATAACGTTTACTAAAAAACAGAATCATATCTTTTATAAGTATACACTTGGCAATAACGTCCTAACTAGGAACTTATCTGTTCGAAATCTTGGTATCATCCTTGATCAAAAGCTATCTTTTGGTCTTCATATTGATGGGGTGGTGAACAATGCGTTCTTGTGAGGATTTTACAAATCCGTATGTGATCATCAATATTTATAATGCTTTTATCAATAGCATCTTGAACTTTGGTAGTTGTGTTTGGAATCCCCAGAATTCTTGCTATATCAACAGATTTGAGAAGATTTAGATAAAAGTTTGTTTCTTATAAATCGCATCATGTTTACGAAGACTATAACACTGCATGTGGAGACTACTTGCGGATGACATGTTCTTGTATTTTGTATTACTCAACAATGCGATTCTTCTTACCTTCTATCTCGTGTCGATTTACATGTTCCTCACTGTCAACTCCGTTACGATTTCCTTTTGTATGCACCTACACCGCGCAAAACATCTTAAAGAAATTCTCCTATCATTAGAATGGAGAGAGCAGTAGAGCATCTCGGCATTGACTTATTTGTGTTCAACATTGTGCTCGAAACATTACCATAAATGTGCTGATTAATTTTGAATACGGTATATTGCATCTATTGTATATATTATCTCTGTCGAGCAATGTGTTTGGGTCTGTCCCGTTTTTGCTCCCTTGGAAAGTAAATAAATAAATATTTCAAAAATTTATTTCTCAAAAACTAAAAGTGATTTTTCAAAACGGCTTTTTGCATTAAAAAGACAACACATTATTCAATAATTGGTGATATTTCCACAAGGATCCTTCAAGAAATTAATTTTATAGCGAATTTTGAAAATTATCGATGAAAATAGCAACATCGAAAATTTTATCAAAACTTCAAATATTGTTTTCTCAAAAACTAAAATTTATTTTTCAAAACGTGTTGGTTCATTGGAAAGAGGACACTTTTATTAACATTTTGGGAAATTTTCATATTCATATTCCAAGAAATCAATTTTATACGGATTATTAAAATTTAAGCGGCGAAAATAGCAAAATTCGAAGAAATTGTCGATTATTTCAAAAATTTATTTCTCAAGAACTAAAAGTGATTTTTCAAAACGGCTTTTTGCATTAAAAAGGGGATACTTTAATTAATAATTGGTGATATTTCCACAAGGATCCTTCAAGAAATTAATTTTATAGCGAATTTTGAAAATTATCGATGAAAATTGCAACATCGAAAATTTTATCAAAACTTCAAATATTGTTTTCTCAAAAACTAAAAGTTATTTTTCAAAACGGGTTGGTTCATTGGAAAGAGGACACTTTTATTAACACTTTGGGAAATTTTCATACTCATATTCCAAGAAATGGATTTTATACGAATTTTTAAAACTTAATCGGCGAAAATTGCAAAATTCGAAAAAATTGTCGATTATTTCAAAAATTTATTTCTCAAGAACTAAAAGTGATTTTTCAAAACGGCTTTTTGCATTAAAAAGAGGATACTTTAATTAATAATTGGTGATATTTCCACAAGGATCCTTCAAAAAATTAATTTTATAGCGAATTTTAAAAATTATCGATGAAAATTGCAGCATTGAAAATTTTATCAAACCTTCAAATATTGTTTTCTCAAAAACTAAAAGTTATTTTTCAAAACGTGTTAGTTTATTGGAAAGAGGGCACTTTTATTAACACTTTGGGAAATTTTCATACTCATATTCCAAGAAATCGATTTTATACGAATTTTTAAAACTTAGTCGGCGAAAATTGCAAAATTCCAAAAAATTGTCGATTATTTCAAAAATTTATTTTTCAAGAACTAAAAGTGATTTTTCAAAACAGCTTGTTGCATTAAAAAGAGGATACTTTAATTAACAATTGGTGATATTTCCACAAGGATACTTGAACGAATTTCTTCACGAATTTTTAAAACTTAATCGCTCAATCAGACTAGATACAAGAAGAGAGCTACACCACCTACATTTATCATGTATGCCTGATTTAGTAATAGGCCCACAAAGCAAATATCCTCTCATGCATGCTCTAGAATAATAAATAATAATAATAATATTTATTGATACAAAATCGCCACCCTTATACTATAGTCAACAAAAAAACAGATATTCAAGCGAAATATATATACTATATATATTGTTTTTGGTTCAATACCCATTAAAAATTCAATTGCTCAATTCTTCATCCTGAAAGTACTCATTTAGTTCGTAGTAAGGGTTTTCTTCTAAATATCGTTTTAATTTTATCTTTAACCGAGATGTTGTTAATGATTTTAATTCATTCGAAAGATGATTATATATTCTGGCCGAGTGATACATAACATTTTTTTGAATTCAAGTGAACTTTGTTATCGTCAGATTTAGTAAAATTAATCTTGGTTCAGACCACCTCAGCATAGATTTTCAACTAAACACCCCACCATTCTCAATAGTATATACAATATCGAAAACCTAAACAATGACATGTCAAATTACATCCATAACAATCCTGCTATTCGCAAAAAGGTCATTCCCCAAAAAGGAAAAGGTCCTATTACTCCTTCCCACTCCTTCTTTATATCCTAACGTTAATTAAACGTAAAAGATGCATGTACTGAGAGTTCAGAAGAAATGAAGATGCTGACATCGAGAAGAGAATTAATGAGCTTAGTAAAAGTATTCATAAGTTAATATGGCAATTCAGATCTTCCAGATTTATTGAAGCTTGTAATAATATCAACCAAAGTAAGAGAAAATCTTTCTGGAATAAAGTCAAAAAACTCGTTTATCTTATAGATCCAACTGATGGCTTACTGCACATATTTCTAGTAACAGATTGAATGTCGACGAAGATGAATACTGGGAATTGATAATAAGCTGGCACGAACAATTTTTAGACAATTACATTCTAACATTCATGCACATGTATAAGACATATTCAACTTTTGTTTCCAAAATCAATACATTCCTAATGAATGGAAAACTAAGACAATAGTATGCATCCCAAAAACACACGAACCTACAAACGCCTTCTGGTTATCCACTATACATCCACTAGCTATTTTTACTTCAAATCTACACACTTGTCGCTTACAGCAAATAAAATCAGCAGCTCTTTTTCTAGACATACAAAAAGCGTTTGACTCAGTGTGGCATAATGGTCCGATTTACAAATTACAAAAATTAAACATTCCACCTGAGTTGCATATGACACGATGGAAATTTTCGCGCTGACTACCGATTTATATATGCTGCAATATGCCGACGATACTGCACTAATAGCGCATGGGAAGAAACTTGAAACAGCCATAGTAACATTACAAGACGCAACTAACAAAATAACCAAATGGTGCTCTTCCTGGAGAACTAACATAAACGCTTCAAAAACACAATTTCTAATACTATTCCATAGGATAACAGATAATTCTCCAACAGTATACATCAGACAGACGCAAATCAGTCCTTCAGCGAACATCAAATACATGGGTATAATCTTTGACAGCAAAGTGAATTTCCACATACACACAAAAAAGGCTAAAATGAAAACAATCACCAGAACAAAGTTGTTTAGAAGATTAACCTACAAGAAAGAAGGCATTAACATCAAATCCGCTGCGCATATTTCCAAGACTATTTGTAAACCAATTTTAGAGGGAGTTTGGAAGTTGGCGAAAGAAAATAAAAAAGAAAATAAAAAATTGCAGCATTGAAAATTTTATCAAATCTTCAAATATTGTTTTCTCAAAAACTAAAAGTTATTTTTCAAAACGGGTTGGTTCATTGGAAAGAGGACACTTTTATTAACACTTTGGGAAATTTTCATACTCATATTCCATTAAATCGATTTTATACGAATTATTAAAACTTAATCGGCGAAAATTGGAAAATTCGAAAAAATTGTCGATTATTTCAAAAATTTATTTCTCAAGAACTAAGAGTGATTTTTCAAAACGGTTTTTTGCATTAAAAAAGGGACACATTATTTAATAATTGGTGATATTTCCACAAGGATCCTTTAAGAAATTAATTTTATAGCGAATTTTTAAAGTTATCGATGAAAATTGCAGCATCGAAAATTTTATCAAAACTTCAAATATTGTTTTCTCAAAAACTAAAATTTATTTTTCAAAACGGGTTGGTTCATTGGAAAGAGGACACTTTTATTAACATTTTGGGAAATTTTCATAGTCATATTCCAAAATGTGGATTTTATATGAATTTTTAAAACTTAACCGGCGAAAAATGCAAAATTCGAAAAATTTTTCGATCATTTCAAAAATTTATTTCTCAAAAACTAAAAGTGATTTTTCAAAACGGTTAATTGCATTAAAAAGAGGATACTTTAATTAATAATTGGTGATATTTCCACAAGGATCCTTCCAGAAATTAATTTTATAGCGAATTTTGAAAATTATCGATGAAAATTGCAACATCGAAAATTTTATCAAAACTTCAAATATTGTTTTCTCAAAAACTAAAAGTTATTTTTCAAAACGAGTTGGTTCATTAGAAAGAGGACGCTTTTATTAACATTTTGGGAAAATTTTCAAACTCATATTCCATTAAATCAATTTAATGCGAATTATTAAAACTTAATCGGCGAAAATTGTAAAATTCGAAAAATTGTCGATTACTTCAAAAATTTTTTTCTCAAGAACTAAGGGTGATTTTTCAAAACGGCTTTTTGCATTAAAAAGAGGATACTTTAATTAATAATTGGTGATATTTCCACAAGGATCCTTCCAGAAATTAATTTTATAGCGATTATCGATAAAGATTGCAACATCGAAAATTTTATCAAAACTTCAAATATTGTTTTCTCAAAAACAAAAAGTTATTTTTAAAAACGTGTTGGTTCATTAGAAAGAGGACGCTTTTATTAACATTTTGGGAAATTTTCAAACTCATATTCCATTAAATCAATTTAATGCGAATTATTAAAACTTAATCGGCGAAAATTGCTAAATTCGAAAAAATTTTCGATTACTTCAAAAATTTATTTCTCAAAAACTAAAAGCGATTTTTCAAAACGGCATTTTGCATTTAAAAGAGAGTACTTTAATTAATAATTCGCAAGGATCTAATATTCCCATAGGATACAATCCATGTAAAATGATAATTCTTTGGCTCTTGCCACGAAAGGTTGAAATTCTGCACACATTTCTTTAGGATTTCGAGGCCCTCCTTTCCAAATCCATTCTCTTACCCTGGATAAGATTGGATCCTTTGCCGTAGCACTTGCTATATCTTTTGCTTCTATCATTTTTTCAGGTAAGTTTTTTAACATCAGTACTTCCAATGCTCGTGGTGGTTCTCTGCATTCAACTTTGAGTGGTAACCTGCTCAACGCATCAGCATTTGCTAACTCTTTTCCCGGTATGTACTGTAACCTATAGTTATATGCATTCAGTATGATAGTCCTTCTCAGCATACAAGGTGATAAGATTTCTGGAGTAGGTTTATTTTGTCCCAAAATTCCCAGTAGAGGCTTATAACTATAGTAGAAACTTCTTAACAGCTGTCACCAATGCCAAAGCTTCTCGATCTATTTGTGCAGAATTTCTTTCCGTGGTTGTTAATGTACGGCTATGATAAGCGACAACAGTTTCTTCGCCCCCATTCTCCCTTTGGCTTAAAACGCATCCCACTCCATATGGACTTGCATCAGCCGTGACGACTAATGGTTTATTTTCATCGTAGTGTGCTAAGACAGGCTTTTCTCTGTTCACTTTCCCATTCAAAAGTTTTGTCTTTATGTAGAAGTTTATGTAACGGTTCTGCAATATTTGCTTTATCTTTCAGAAAGATATGGTAGAAATTTACCAAACCCAAAAATGCCTGCAATTCTGTTTTGTTAGTTGATTCAGGTGCGTTTTGTATTGCACGTATTTTATCTTCTGTAGGACTAATTCCTTTTTCTGTTATTTAAAATCACAGATATTTAATTTTTTCTGATTTTTCTTTTCTCACATGAAGTCCGCCTTCTTTGAAACGTCGTAACACTTCTCTGACCTTCATCTGACTTTCCAACACATAATATGTCGTCGTAATAAGTTAACACTCCGTCTATTCCAGCCAAACGTCTTCAAACATTGTTTTCTCAAAAACTAAAAGTTATTTTTCAAAACGAGTTGGTTCATTAGAAAGAGGACACTTTTATTAATGTGATGAGTACACGCAATTCAAATTTGGCAGTAACAAATAAAATTACGCGCTTGAGAAGTAATTTCATTCTTGAATTTTTTTATATCTCTTTGTTGTTTCGTTTTACACATTTCAATTTTGCAAAGACTTCGTCTCGCCACGAATTATTTCCCCAGCGATTTAAAAGACGGCATCGGTTTAATATATTATTTCCGCGTCGCAGTTAAATTCTTTAGTGGCCCTTTGAGGCCATCAAAGACACCGTGCGCGATTCGTTAACCAATAAAAATTTTTATATCAATTTTATCATACACTTTTCTTTTCTTACCTGGGCAAATGTGGTGCAGCTTGCGATTGATTAACCGAAAAGATTAAAATTCCTGCCATCACAACCAATACGGTTATTGCAACGTTTCCGAATGAGGTCTTCATTGTGTTTGCCTGAAAAAAAAAAATAATAATTGCAACAATTTAATTTTATTAAATTTAAAATAATTTTGAGCAAAACTCGGAATTTATTAATAAATTAGGACCAAAAATTTAATAAAAATATATCTATTGAGAAAAATTTTGTTATAAAAAGAAATATTTTCATCTTCTTTTATAAAATTCGTATTTTAACGTTGCTAAAGTCGATTCCCACGGCGATGATACGAGCTTTTCTCACATCTTGCATTTTCAACCGTTTATATTTATGAGATACCTGACATTACCCGCAGCTATAAACGTAGTTCTTCAATCAAAAAAATAAACATTATTATATATTACATATTCCCATCATAGTTCGTTTCATTTACTCTTTGCATTTGAGCTGGGTTTTAATGCTTTTGGCTCGAAATTTCACATCAACGATCCACATTTGCATAATTTTCCAAGTAATTCCATTTTGCAATTTTCAGGGTGGCAATCTAAACTAAACTGCCAACACTATTTGCGAAGTCATCGAAAATCAGACGGTGCAAAATCATAAGTTTGTGTTAAATCGTCTCTATGTATTTATTCCCCATAGTTTTCACAACGTAACGTGATGAATTTCAAATTCGTCTCGTTGACATTCCGAATTGGAAAGATTTTGGACTTCCCCGCAAACATCTCTCTATTTATTCTACGATTTAAAATGAAACGCGAAAGAAATCGATAAATTTTCGACATTTTGAATTCAAGTTATCGAGTTAAACTTAATTTCAACATCAAAGACGAACGGTTGATATCTTGCCTTTATATTAAAGGGTGCCTCTTTGAAGGGAGGGTGATGGTACATATTGTACTTTGCCCTCGCGACGTGACGTATGTGCGATATTCGTTCGGACGGGTTGGGAATGCAAAATGTTTGCTGTCGCGGCTTATCATGGCACGTTCGTTTTGACACGAAATCCACCGAAATTCAGTGTCATACCTGGACATTTTTCAATTTTTTGGGGTTTTCTCACAAGAATCTTAACTCGGAGGAAATTTGATAAATTTTAAAAAAACACAATGAAAATAAATTGATTCAAAATGCTTTAGAAAGATAAACTTGGTAAGTGACATCTGAGATACTTTATTGATATAAAAGATAGATATGAAGTTGACAAAATGAATAATAATTGATTTCAGTTAAGATGAAAATATCTACTCAAAGTTAGTCACAAATTGCGATATTCTTAAGATATAAAGCTAGTGTTTGTAAGTAAAGAGGGTTTGTAACTAAAACTTCATCAAAAACAACTTCTAAATTCGCAATTTTAATTTTTTTTTACTTGTTTTGTTCGAAAGATGTTCAAAATGATGCAAGGAACACGATGAGTATACTTAATTCAAATTAGGCAGTAGCAAAAAAAATTACGCGACTACAAAAAGTCATTTTCTTAGCTTCAAATTCGCAATTTTAATTTTTTTAAATTTTTTTTCTTCTAAAATACGTAAAATATCCTTTAGAACACGACTAATACACACATTTCAATTTTGGCAATATCAAAAATGCTTAATCCTTTAATTCCTAAAGTCGCAATTTCAAATTTTTTATTTTTTTTGTTCCTTAGATGTTCAAAATGATTCAAGGAACACGATGAGTACTCGCAATTCAAATTTGGCAGTAGCAAAAAAAATTACGCGACTGCAAAAAGTTGCTTCCTTAGCTCTAAATTTGCAATTTTAATTTTTTTTTTAATTTTTTCTTCTAAAATACATAAAATATTCTTTGGAACACGACTAATACACACATTTCAATTTTGGTAATATCAAAAATGCTTAATCCCTTAATTTCTAAAGTCGCAATTTCAATTTTTTTGTTCCTAAGATGTTCAAAATGAACCAAGGAACACGATGAGTACCCGCAATTAAAATTTGGCAGTAGCAAAAAAAATTACGCGACAACAAAATGTCATTTCCTTAGGTCTAAATTTGCAATTTTAATTTTTTTTTAATTTTTTCTTCTAACATAATACATAAAATATCCTTTGGAACACGGCTAATACACACATTTCAATTTTGGATATATCAAAAATGCTAATCCTTTAGTTTCTAAAGTTGCAATTTCAAATTTTTATTTTTTTTTGTTCCTAAGATGTTCAAAATGATCCAAGGAACACGATAAGTATACTTAATTTAAATTTGGCAGTATAAAAAAAAATTACGCGACTGCAAAAAGTCAGTTCCTTAGCTTTAAATTCTCAATTTTTATTTAAAAAAAATTTTTTTCTTCTAAAATACGTAAAATATCCTTTGGAACACGACTAATACACAGATTTCAATTTTGGCAATATCAAAAATACTTAATCCTTTAATTTCTAAAGTCGCAATTTCAAATTTTTTATTTTTTTTGTTCCTAAGATGTTCAAAATGATTCAAGGAACACGATGAGTACACGCAATTCAAATTTGGCAGTATCAAAAAAAATTACGCGACTACAAAAAGTCATTTCGTTAGCTCTAAATTTGCTATTTTAATTTTTTTTTTAATTTTTTCTTCTAAAATACATAAAATATCCTTTGGAACACGGCTAATACACACATTTCAATTTTGGCAATATCAAAAATGCTTAATCCTTTAATTCCTAAAGTCGCAATTTCAAATTTTTTATTTTTTTTGTTCCTTAGATGTTCAAAATGATTCAAGGAACACGATGAGTACTCGCAATTCAAATTTGGCAGTAGCAAAAAAAATTACGCGACTGCAAAAAGTTGCTTCCTTAGCTCTAAATTTGCAATTTTAATTTTTTTTTTAATTTTTTCTTCTAAAATACATAAAATATTCTTTGGAACACGACTAATACACACATTTCAATTTTGGTAATATCAAAAATGCTTAATCCCTTAATTTCTAAAGTCGCAATTTCAATTTTTTTGTTCCTAAGATGTTCAAAATGAACCAAGGAACACGATGAGTACCCGCAATTAAAATTTGGCAGTAGCAAAAAAAATTACGCGACAACAAAATGTCATTTCCTTAGGTCTAAATTTGCAATTTTAATTTTTTTTTAATTTTTTCTTCTAACATAATACATAAAATATCCTTTGGAACACGGCTAATACACACATTTCAATTTTGGATATATCAAAAATGCTAATCCTTTAGTTTCTAAAGTTGCAATTTCAAATTTTTATTTTTTTTTGTTCCTAAGATGTTCAAAATGATCCAAGGAACACGATAAGTATACTTAATTTAAATTTGGCAGTATAAAAAAAAATTACGCGACTGCAAAAAGTCAGTTCCTTAGCTTTAAATTCTCAATTTTTATTTAAAAAAAATTTTTTTCTTCTAAAATACGTAAAATATCCTTTGGAACACGACTAATACACAGATTTCAATTTTGGCAATATCAAAAATACTTAATCCCTTAATTTCTAAAGTCGCAATTTCAATTTTTTTATTTTTTTTGTTCCTAAGATGTTCAAAATGATCCAAGGAACACGATGAGTACCCGCAATTCAAATTTGGCAGTATCAAAAAAAATTACGCGACTACAAAAAGTCATTTCCTTAGCTCTAAATTTGCAATTTTAATTTTTTTAAAAATTTTTTTCTTTTCAAATACGTAAAATATCCTTTAGAACACGACTAATACACACATTTCAATTTTGGCAATATTAAAAATGCTTAATCCCTTAATTTCTAAAATCGCAACTTCAAAATTTATTTTTTTTTGTACCTAAGATGTTCAAAATGATCCAAGGAACACGATGAGTACCCGCAATTCAAATTTGGCAGTATCAAAAAAAATTACGCGACTGCAAAATGTCATTTCCTTAGCTCTAAACTCGCAATTTTAATTTTTTTTAAATTTTTTCTTCTAAAATACGGAAAATATCCTTTAGAACACGGCTAATACACACATTTCAATTTTGGCAATATCAAAAATGCTTAATCTCTTAATTTCTAAAGTCGCAATTTCAATTTTTTTGTTTTTTTTGTTCCTAAGATGTTCAAAATGATCCAAGGAACACGATGAGTACCCGCAATTCAAATTTGGCAGTATCAAAGAAAATTACACGACTACAAAAAGTCATTTCCTTAGCTCTAAATTCGCAATTTTTATTTTTAAAAAATTTTTTTCTTCTAAAATACGTAAAATATCCTTTGGAACACGACTAATACACACATTTCAATTTTGGCAATATCAAAAATGCTTAATCCTTCAATTTCTAAAGTCGCAATTTCAAATTTTTTATTTTTTTTGTTCCTTAGATGTTCAAAATGATTCAAGGAACACGATGAGTACCCGCAATTCAAATTTGGCAGTAGCAAAAAAAATTACGCGACAGCAAAAAGTTGCTTCCTTAGCTCTAAATTTGCTATTTATATATTTTTTTAAATTTTTTGCTTCTAAAATACGTAAAATATCCTTTGAAATACGGCTAATACACACATTTCAATTTTGGCAATATCAAAAATGCTTAATCCTTTAATTTCTAAAGTCGCAATTTCAAATTTTTTATTTTTTTTGTTCCTAAGATGTTCAAAATGATTCAAGGAACACGATGAGTACCCGCAATTCAAATTTGGCAGTATCAAAAAAAATTACGCGACTACAAAAAGTCATTTTCTTAGCTCTAAATTCGCAATTTTAATTTTTTTTTAATTTATTTCTTCTAAAATACGTAAAATATCCTTTAGAACACGGCTAATACACACATTTCAATTTTGGCAATATTAAAAATGCTTAATCCTTTAATTTCTAAAGTCGCAATTTCAAATTTTTATTTTTTTTGTTCCTAAGATGTTCAAAATGATCCAAGGAACACGATGAGTACCCGCAATTCAAATTTGGCAGTATCAAAAAAAATTACGCGACTACAAAAAGTCATTTCCTTAGCTCTAAATTTGCAATTTTAATTTTTTTTTAAATTTTTTTTTCTAAAATACATAAAATATCCTTTGGAGCACGACTAATACACACATTTCAATTTTGGCAATATCAAAAATACTTAATTCCTTAATTTCTAAAGTCGCAATTTCAATTTT